TTTTTTTTTTTTTTTTTTTTTTTTTTTTTTTTTTGTAATTTGCCTAAAATAATAATAATAATATTGTATTGAGCTGCTAATATATTAAGAGTAATGTTATGAATACAAATTTTTTTACCAAACACTCAAATAAGTCTAAGACACACTCATGGGAGTGTTTGATAGAAATTTTATTAAAAAATTTAAAATATCTAACATTTTTTATATGTTAATGAGTATATTAAGACATTATCTCAAAGGTACACAATAATTTTTTATATATGTCGAAACCAATTCCCAACATTTATTGAGAACCCTAGTGAAATGTTCCAAACTAGGCCAGTCAATTGATCAGATTAATCTGAATTCAAAAATGATCTCATTAAGACAAATTTGATATGAAATCATCGAATTGTGAGTATTATATTCAAAACTCCAGCCGACCCAATTTATTATAATATTCTACTTTTTATTCAAATTTCACCTTATTTTTTTTAATAAAAAAAAGTTATGGAGAGAAAAACTAGTATGTTAGATTTAGTTAAGTTTGTTTCATACATGGGTACCAATTTTTGTAATACTATAGGATTATTAGATTTAAGATTAAAAAAAGAGAAATATTTGGGACAATCTTTTTTGGAGATTCCATGACCCTCAATTTGATCTTGGCCCTTGATGGGTGTGTGGGATCCACTTATATATGAGTGGGCCTCACATTATGAGTGGTTGGGATGAGAGTGAGAATTGTGGAGGTCATATATGTGTGGAGATCTCACCTATTATTTTTAAAATATAATAGTCCTATATATAGATATAAAATTAAAGAATAAAAATCAAATCGGATCAAGTCAAATTTAACCGAAACTAGTAATATTTGGATCAATTGGATTATTGGATATTTGTTAATTAAATTCTAAAGGTATATACTAAATGAACTTGAAATGGCATTTATAAGGTGGATCGTGAGGAGGGGATGCTACATTTTTTTCAGTTAAGTGGTCAGAGTGTCCGGACTAATTTTGTGCACTAGTAATTCCTTTCCAGTCTGATTAATGGCATGCAATCCGGAATTAGCGAATTCACAAAGAACTATTTTTTCGCGACATAGCCCCAACAATCGAACCCTCAGTAATTGTATGGGAACACACTCACCAATTGAGATTTCACATAAGTATTGCTATTACTACCCTATCAATTATTTTGGACTTCCATTTTTAAACTTTTTTTGATTACAATAATAACCTCAATGAAATTACTAAAAAGAACATCAATAATTTTGTGACAATCCATCTCACAATTAAATTCATACACTCACTACATCATGAGCTAGGATTTATGAGAGTACTCACCTACATCACTACCCATCTATCTTTCCCAAATCCCACCTTCAAAACTTACCTACCCTTAAAACCTTGAAAACTTTTTAGCGGTAATATTGCAGCGGTAATGATGACAATCATTTGATTACCTATACTTCTCCGGCAATGACAACGAGTGAAATTTTTTTCGACAATCACAACTCTATGAGACGAGAGTACAACAATAGAAGTTCAGAATTGATTCATAACTTTGATGGTACTCTTAGCTCAGAGGAGATTGACTTTGTAAGAGTAAGTTTCTTAAAAAAATGGCAAAAATAATAATAAATTGTTTGTTATTTTTTCAGGACTAAACTCCCGAACATATGACTGAAATTCGAGAACGCAGGCCTGAACATTATTCATTTATTAGGGAACAGGTAACCGAACATTTTTTATTTGTTCGGGAATAAATAACTGAAACTCATGGAGATCGTAGAACTCACAAAAGGGCAATTTTGAATCAACAATAAATAAATAAAAAAAAAACCCCTATATTTATTTTCTTAGATCATAAACAAGTATGTGGAGATAAAATTGTAATCACTTTCGTGAGTTTTGTTAGGATTTTGGAAAAAGAAGCTTTTTGGGATGTGGAGGTGTACAATCAATTGAATGGATGAAATGTTTTCATAAGGAAAATTTTGATATTATTTGAGAGGAGAAAAAAAATTGAGTGGTACTATTAGCACCTCATAAATTATTTTGCACCCCCATTTCTTTGGACCCCCATTTATAAATTTTAAAACCCTTAAAAAAAAAAAATTCTCCCAAATAATATCAAAATTATCCTTAAACATTCCTCTCATTGAATGCACACTCCCCACACCTCAAAAAAATCTCCCTTCCAAAAATCCCTAACAAAACCCACTAAAACGAAGAAGAGTCTCATTATTTTCAAAACTCACGAAGAAGAAGAATACTGTCTCTGCCGATTTAACCAACTTCACATCTGATATTTTTCATTGTTCTCAAATCCAAACTCTTGATTTGAGCCACAATAATCTTTCGGGGGATGTTCCAATACAAAACTTGTCTATGATTATCATAAACCTACTTAGCTTAACCTACCATACAATCACTTCTCGAAGATTAAAATTTCCGATTCCCAGTTCTTAAAACGGTTCAGTTCTTCGAGTGTTCTTCATTCTGGACTCATTCCAAATCACAAAAAGTTCAAAATCAATATTCGGTTACCGGTTCTTGAACATATAAACAATGTTCAGGCCTGTGTTCCCGAATTTCGATCATATATTCGAGAATTTCGGTCATATGTTCGGGAGTTCAATCCCAAAAAAATGACGAACATATTTTATTATTTTTGTCATTTTTTTTTAAGAAATTTACCTTTACAAGGTCAATCTCCTCTAAGTTAAGAACAACATCAAAGCTATGAAGCTCCTTTAAGCTTTTATTGTTTTACTCCTCTTGTCTTATGGAGTTGTCGTTACTAGAAAATTTTTCACTCATTGTCATAGCTGGAAAAGTGTAGATAATCAAATAGTTGCCACCGTTATGTCGAAATATTTCCGCCAAAGGGTTTTCAAGATTTTGAGGATGGATAGGTTTTGAATGTGAGATTTGGAAAAGATGGATGGATGGTGATGGAGGTGGGTGCTCTCATAAATTTTAATTCATGATGTAGTGGGTGTCTAAAGTTTAATTATGAGATGGAATGTCCCAAAATTAATGATATCCTTTGTAATAATTTTATTTGAGATTATTATTGTAATAATAAATAAATAAATAAATAAATAAATAAAACTAAAAGTTGAGAGGTTCAAAATAATTTATGGAGTGCTCATAGCAACACTTAAAAAATTTTAAGAATTTTAAAATTTATAAATGAAAATCCAAAAAATAAAAAATTTAAAAAAATTAATGCGATACGAATAGCAGCCTCTTTCTGTATAAAACACCAAAGAAATTTACAAACCCAATCCACATAGGCCAGAAGATATTTTTTGCCAGGTACTAAAGATATTTTCATTTCTTTTGGCACAATTCTGGGCTCAAGTTGTCTCAACAAAGATAGCAAGTAGTATAACACTAAATCATCACTACTTGCCATTGATAATAAAGATATACAGTTTCTGAGCTGATATCCCATCTTATGGAGTGCACCACAGTTCTCCCACTCTCTCAGCTCTCTTTTTTCCCTCCAAAACCCTGCAACAGACAAAACAGAGCTTATCCTTCAAGGCCATGGAAGCAGAGATGACCACCTAACCGAGCTAAAGACACTTTGCTCATCTACAAAATCCATGGTGCTGGTAAGTAGCTCTCTTGCTTATCTTTCAAATTCTTACAACTTTCTGCTCGGTCGTACTTAAAAAAGTTTCTTTCCATCC